TGTCGCCCAGGCTGGAGCCCAGTGGGACGCTCGCGGCCACTGTAGCCTCGACCTGCTGGGCTCAGGTGATCCTTCCGCCTCAGCCTTCCAAGTAGCTGGAACCACAGGCGTGTGCCACCGTGCCCGGCTGATCTTTTGATTTATTGTAGAGACGAGCTCTCGCCATGTTTCCCAGGCTGGTCTCGGATACCTGAGCTCAGGTAATCCCCTCGCTTCAGCCTCCCAAAGTGAGCCACCGCGCCCGGCTTGGGACACACGCTTCTCACACTTGGGGGATGTCTTGTCCGGAAGTTAGTTTAAGTTGTGGGCCTTTCCTCTTCCAGGGGGCAACTCGAGGGTCCAGCTCAGGGATCCAGCGGCTGGGAATCGCTGGAAGTGGGGCCAAAGACAAGTGGTTCGCCGACAGGCACGGAGGTCAGGAGGCGTTTTGTGAGCACAGCCACGAGGGACCCTGCCACAGAAGACACACAGGAGACTGTCGCCACGGGAGACCGACAGGAACCACAGCCCCGGGGAATAGCAGTCAGGGGAAAGCACGTGGGAGATTGCAGTCACAGAGGGACACCGCCACGAGGGTCCGCGGCCACGGGAGACGGAGCCACGGGGGAGGGCCATCGCCAAAAGGGATCACAGCCAAGGGAGGCCGCAGCCACAAGGCACCCCGGCCACAAGAGACCGCAGCTACAGGGGACGGACAGCAAGTACGGGAAACCACAGCTACAGGGGACCCGAAGGAGACCGTAGACACCAGGGACCAGCGCGCTGCCTGGGTACCCTCCAGCCGCGCCCCCGGCGCCGGGACGCCAAGTCCCCAGCCCGCTCGGTCTCGGCTCGGTACTCCCCGCGCCACAGCCCCTGCGGTCCGGACGGATCAGCCCACAGCATCTCGATCTCCGGCTTCCGCTCCCAGGTCCCAGCCGAGAATTCAAGATGGGAACCGCCAGTCAGGGCTGCCGCCCATTGGCTGAGCGACAGGAAGGCCAGCGGTGATTGGTCCGCTCCTCCTCCTGCGCCGGCCGGCTGGGCGGGCACGATTGGTGGTAGACATGTCGGCCCGCCCTCGCCCCGCCCCGGCCGGCTCGCGCGGACGTCATTACCCGGCGTGCCGCGCGTCTACGCTTCTCCTCCGCCCGCTAATGTTTTGGCCAGTTCAAGATGGCGGTGCAGGAGTCAGCTGCTCAGCTGTCCATGACCCTGAAGGTGCAGGAGTACCCGACTCTTAAGGTAGGCGTCTGCGAGCGGAGGCCCAGGGGAGCGGCTGTGCCTTCCGCCGATGCCCGCGGGCAGGAGGGGGCGGCTCTAGAGCGGGGAAGAGGGGCGGGCGGGGGCTGGGCGCGGCCTCGCAGGGCAGGCGGGCTCCCAGGGGCGGCGGGCGGGCGGGCTCCGGGGGCGGCAGGCTCCGCTGCGGGCAGGCGTTGCCAGTGCGGCCGTTCGCGGCCCTGCCCGGCGCCTGGCTTAGCTCTTGGAGTCTGGTTATGGTCTCTCCGTTTAAGAAAAGAGTAAAGGGACCAGGGGCGATCCTGGCCGCAGGCTGGCTGGAGGGTTTGGGGCTGGGTGGGGCTGGGGTCTCGGACGCCCAGCTGGAGGGCCCCGACGGGACCAGCGCTTGATGTCCGGCTGCCTCCCGGAAGCTCAGTGCTGGCAGGCGTGGATGTGCTGGCCTCCAATCACCAATCAGGGAACCTGTAAGGAGAGACCTGACAACCTAATGGGGACCCAACGACCTTTTTGCTGGGCGTCACCAAACCTGAAATACAGCCTTTGCCTGTCGATTGCCAGTTGCATGACCTTGGGTGGTCACTCAGCCAAGTCGCATTCCATTAGAATGAAATTTGTGTTCCTAGTAAAGGGGCCCATACATGCCCTTCACCTAGTTAGTTGAGGATTTGAAGGCGATTGACTAAAATGAAGCCTCTGGGAATAAATTTCTTAGAAGATCAAGGTCATAACATTCCTAGGAGGGCTGTGGCTGAGCCTGTGATTCCCTTTTCTTTTTCTGGAGGACTGGGTAGCTTTTCTCTCCTGCCAGAGCATCCTAGTGTCCCCATCCATCTCAATGGTGACAGGTGGGGGCTGCAGTGTGGCCAGGTTGCTCTGAATCCCTCCAGCCCCAATGCGGTTTAGCAACGAGAGGAAGAGCACAGGCCCTGAGCCAGCCTGCTGGGATTTGAATTCCGCTCCCCTGTATTCACCTTTTACCGGGAGGTATCTGGTAGTCCTGGGTGATTGATTGTTCTTGTCGAATATAGATAATGGAAGCACCTGAGGGTGAACCAAGTGACCCTGTATTGTTTCAAGCAGTGCCTTGAAGCACTTTATTCGTTCTCATTAAAGTATACCTGTTGGCCTGGCACCATGTTTCAAGCCTGTAATCCCGGCACTTTGGGAGTCCAAGGCAAGAGGATTACCTAAGCCCAGGGGTTTGAGACCAGCCTGGGCAACTTGGCAAGACCTCGTCTCTACAATAAATCAAAAAATTAGCTGAGCGTGGTAGTAGCACACACCTGTAGTTCCAGTTACTTGGAAGGCTGAAGCGGAAGGAACACCTGATTCTAGCAGGTTGAGGCTGCGGTGGCCGTGAGCGTGCCACTGCACTCCAGCCTGGGTGACAGAGTGAGATGCCAACTAAAAATAAAATATACCTGTTATAGTTTTTGCAGCTGAAATCAGACTGGACCCTGATGCAGTTGGCCTTCATAGGAAATAGAAGCAAGGTTCTCTTCCTCTGTTAGCTGGTGGTTGAGCAGCGATGTTTTGTGGCGTTTGATGTCACAGTATGTTATTTGATCGAGGAAGGCGGGGGAATGTTGCTGACCTTACAAAGCCCTCTTCACTTTTTTCTACTCAACCTCATGACACTCATGGATTACTGTTGGTTTAGAGACAAAGATCCTGCAGCTCAGAGAAGTCTATATCATTATATCATGCAGCCATTCATGGAGAGCCTTTAACCACTGATCTTTTGTCTCACTCAGTTTACCGCCAGATTTGGCATTTCAACTGACATAAGAAGATTTGAAGATCAGAACTATGGTGGTTTGTTATTTTTGGTGTTGGCTGGTAAATGTGGGAAACATCAGGCAGGAAAGGTTTCCAGAAATCCTGTCATTGCTCAGGAACTAGGAAAGGAGATGGAAGGTCAGGAAAGGATTCTTCTTCAAGTCTTCTGTTGTTTTTGTTAATCCTGAATGTAATTTGCATTCCAGAGTTATTACATAGCTTCCCATTGAAGTACTCATGCAGATGGTCATACAGGCACAGAAAGAAATGTTGTAATTCCTCGGTTATGTTGACAATTGTATCGCTGCTGAGTTGGTCCGGCAGTGTCACTGCTGTTTCAGGTTGCAGGTAGTGCCCTGGGCGAGAGGAAGAGACTTGGATGCATGGTCCACCATCCTAAACTGGAATCTGCTGTTTAACTTATTATTTTTTTTTTGTTTCAATTGGTTTTTGGAAGTTTTTTTCTGATTATAAAAGTAACTTGCTTTTTCTTCAAATTATTCTGCTGCACAGAGAACTTTTCATTAATATTTTGACATATTTACTTCTACCTTTTTCCCTTCAAAAGCTGAAGTAAAGGTCGACTTAGTTCTTATAATTCAGTTGGTGATGCTGTTCTCTCCTCAAGAGTTTTTTGATAGGCTGAGAAGCGTGGGTGTGTTGCCCCCACATTGGGTGTGTAGATGTAGTCTCATGCATTTTTGAATTCTCTACAGAAATATTTACATTTTCTTATTTCAGTCTGATGACAGTCGGTGACCAAGTACTGCCCTGCAATTTCAAAACCTGGGCTTACACTTGTCATAGAAAGTTTGGGTGCCAAGTATATGCCCAAAGTTGTCACTTTCAGTGCTGTTTTCTGAACTTGGTCTTGGCTGGATTTGGGAGGATCATGTGTTCTCAAGTGTGAGAAACCCTAGTGACCATGAAGCATTGGACTTGAGAGACAAACACATGGCTTTGATCCTGCTTATGTTGTATCCTGGATAGTAGCTGTAGGCTAGGTCTTGACTTCTTTTTACCTTAGATTTTTCTGGACTTACAAAGTAGAGCCAGTCACTCCCTCAGAAGCAGTTGTATTCTATTAGAGAAACCTGGTCCTCTGTCTTGCACACGGACACTTAATAAACCATCATCCCCTTCTTCCGAGGCTCAAAACCTTGTCAGACCTTCAAAGCACTGTCTGCTATTATCTGAAGTAGCCTCACATTGCCTTCCAGAGTCCTACCAGTCTTGAGAGCACACTTGCAACTTTTTTCTTAGAAGAGCCATGCCTTCCTTGTGTCCCTTGGCCTTCCACTCTTCTACACCATCCGCTGCTGTACTGATCCAGCTGGTACATTCGTTGGTGAGCTCTGCACCCCTTGTGCTGGCACACATCACCCTTCATGCCTGGGCCTTTCCACCTGAATAGGTACAGGCTGAGATGAGGATGCAGGCTTGGATTCCCTGCTAGCTGTGGGGTAGTTTTTTTTTTTTTTTTTTAAATTTTTTAAGTATTACTTTAACAAATCTTGAGTCAGGAAAAGAAAGGACTTTCTAATACCTCGTTCTCTATAGAGAATGAATGGGGTTAGAGGTACTACTGAAATGAGGCCCAGAGTAACCCAGGGACCTGAGCATGGGCACAGCCATCAGATAGGACTGGGCTGCCAGCTCAGGGTGCTGATGCCAAAGTCTGTGCACTTTTTTTTTTTTTTTTTAGTTGGAGTCTCACTCCGTCGTCCAGGCTGGAGTGCAGTGGCACACTCAACGGCCACCCCAACATCAACCTGTTGGGCTCCTGTGATCCTGCTGCCTCAGCCTTCCAAGTAGCTGGAACTACAGGCGGGTTCTACCACGCCTGGCTAATTTTTAATTATTGTAGAGATGAGGTCTTGCCCAGTTGCCCGGGCTGGTCTCGAACCCATGGGCTCAGACAGTCCATTTGCCTTGGCCTCCCAAAGTGCTGGGACTACAGGCTGAGCCACCGAGCCTGGCCTGTGTGCACTTCTTGTGTGCTTTCCCCAGGCAGCCATGGAGAGCCTTCATGGGCCAGGTCCTGGGATGTCATGATGGGAAGATAGGTAAGGTCCCTGTCCTGCAGCCTATGCTCTGGTCAGAGGGAGAATTACAGTGTGATGTCATGAACAGTTCAGATCCTTTACACATTGATGAAGTCAAAGTTGGACAGCAGGAAGGGTGGGATTGACCTCCGTGGGTGAAGACCATGACTCGAGCTGGTGGTCAGGAGCTGTCTTTGGGGGCAGTGAGGCTACTGGTCTGTGTTGAAGTCTTGGCAGACCCTAACCCTAGGCACATAGTTCCATTGGGGTGATGTGGCTGTGATTGTCCCCAGCGCCATGGAGAGAATCTCACAGTGAGACCATGAGTGCCAGGGGCAGAGGTCAGCAGGGCGGGGAGTGAGTCCAAGGGGACAGATGGGCAGAATAGAGGCCAGCAGCACCTGCAGTGTGTGAGCTTCCTCATCACAGAGGCGCAGCATGTCAGATGCCATTCTCTTTGGGGCTTAGGTGCAGTGGAGATGTCCAGGTGCTGACTCAGGCATCACAAAGCAGGGTGTCTGCCAGGGGTAGCTGTTGATTTTCTTTAGGTATATGTTGTTGCAGAATCACAAGGACTATTATTTTGAAAACCTGAAAAAAAGAATGACTTACTGCCTTGATAGGTATTTAGTGACTATTCAGCAGAATGTGGATGAGTGGAGAAAAACGCCCGCTGGGCTGATGGCCTGGCACCAGGTCCCACACCCTGGACCTCCAGTGATACCCAGCGCCCCTCACCCCCATCCATCTCCCTGCTGTCCTCCTAGATGACTCCTTTACATATGCCCCTCCCTCAGACCTCATTTCACACTTCGCACCCGCCCACACCCATCACACAGCTGCTGCCCACCCTACCCCCACCCCTTTGTGGATGTGCTGCCCATTGGCTTCATCTGTGTGCTGTGTGGGTCTACTTGCCTGCTGTTCTGCATCGTCTGTTCCCCCGTGTAACTGGGTCCATGATCTGGTTTTCCTCGGTGAACTCAACCCCTTCCTTGCCCGTGTGCTCCTCCAGCTACTACTCCCTTTTCTGCCCTCTTCCTCCCCTTTTTTCCTGTTTTCTCTAAATCAGACTTTGCCCCTAACACTCCACCCATATGTTCCTGTTGAGGACCCTATGAACTGATGTTGAAAGTGGCCCATCCCAGTTCCTTGCTCCGCCTCGGGCCCTTCCTTCAT